AGTGTGTTTGTTTTTTTTTTTTTTCTCACAGCCCCCACACACACACACACACACACACACACACACACACACCACAAAGGGAGAGAGAAACGAGAATTCCATGGAGACTCTTTATTCTTTTCTGAATGTCCTCATCCTCAGGAGTGGCAGTGGGCACTGGTTTCCAAGCAGGCCTCATGGTGGATCAGGATCAGGGCTCGACTCTGCCGCATTTTCCTTGGCACCGTTCTCCTGCTGCGAAGACTCCATCAACAGCAGCTTGCCTTTCACTGGGAGTTGCTCCTCCTCTTCCTCCTCCTCTTCCTCCTCCTCTTCCTCTTCTTCTTCTTCCTCCTTCTCCTCCTCCTCCTCCTCCTCCTCACCCTCTGATGACAGGGAGAAGTTGTCCTGACTCACACAGGCCACAAGTTTCTTCATGGAGGACTCATGGCCATGGCTATGGCCCGTATTTTGGGCTGTTCTGTGGCTGGTGCTGAGCTTGGCACAGCGAGCACCCATCGCCCACTCCTGTCTCTCTAGACTAAAGGGGAGGCAGCTGGGGCAGTGAAAGGGTGTGAGACAGGTGGGCGGGGCTCTGACCTCACAAAGGAGCTCCTGGCACCACCCTCCCCGACCTTGGAACTTGGAGCAGAGCTGTCATTTTCTAGAAACTACTGGCTCAGATGGTCCTTTGAGCTGGGATGAGGATTGGGAGTGAGGGGATTCTGGGGGCAAGTTGGGGGATGAATGGGTTCTGGAGGCCAGAGGGAACAGACTTCTCAAGACAGAGCTGTTGACCATTTTGTGAGTGGGGGCTGCCTTTGAGCAAGGACATGAGCAGAATGGGTTATCCTAACCCACCCATGTTCAACACACTGCTTTTGTCCCCAACCCGAAACACCACTACTAAGACTTCTTGGCACATGCCAAGCAAGCCTACCACACCCTACCACACCAAGTCCTATCCCAAACCAGCCCAATCTAGCCCTGGCTGGCTTTCCCAGATTCTCTTGTCCCACATCAAGACTTTTGCACAGTTCATACTTCAATCATCCATACCAATCATTTCACCCATCTGGCATGGTCTAGGTCACACTCTGGCAGAAGTGTGGCCACAGGGGTCTGGGGAAGAGTGCCCTCCCCACCACCTCCTGCGTCTACACAGTTGGTGAAAGGAGACGGTAGCCAGCAAGTCTCATCACATGTCAAGCTTTATTTGGCAGGTGGCTTTGCTTTACTCAGATCTTGTGGCTCCTTGGCAGCTCAGGGCTCAGAGATCAACGTGGAACGGTTGATAAGCCTTGTGTGACATTCCCTGGGCAGGTGACTTCCTTGGCTCCAGGCAGGCTCCAGGGAGGCTTAGGGGTGGTAGTGATGGTGTCTCCTACACCTCCTGCACCTGCATCTCCTCCTTCGGGATCTTCTGCAACCTTTAGGAAGGAAAAGATTCTGGTTTTCTGGGCTGGCTGGGGAGGGGGTAGGCGTTGGAGTGTTTCCCTGGGGTCAGTGACAGCCTTTGGATACTACTGGGTGGGGTGAGCCCAGCCTCCCTCCTGCCCTGCTGGACAGCCTGACCTCTGTGCTGCCGCTTCCTGTGGCAGCAGGAGCGTCTCCTCGGCCTCCTGCAGGACCGGCGCTTCCTGTGGATGCGGTGCGGCCTCCTGCTCGAGCAGCGCCTGTGTCTGTGGTACTGGTGGCCCTGGTGTGTTCTCCCATAGTCTTCCACACTCTCTGGGCTCAGCCCCTGCTCCTCTCCCTGCTCCTCACGTCCATATTCCTGCCCAGGCCCCTGGTGCGGATGCTCACTGGGGCTCCTTATGCGGTATCGGACCATAGTGCCAGGAGATCAGGAGGCTCCGGGCTGAGGCTACAGCTGACCTGGAATGGAGGAGGAGGGCTGAGGCCTGCCCACCTGGTCTTGGTGGTGGTGATGGTTTTGGTCTCGGGGGCTCTCTGGGGGTCATATATAAAGGGGGACCCACTGTGAGCTGGCAGCCCACCCCTGATTGTCCCCACCCTGCCCAGTCTCCTCTGTGAAGGCAACACAGGGCGAGTCCTGCAACACTGGTACATAGGCTTGGCGTAAGGCCAAGCCACTCATCTTGCCTTTTGTCCAATATGTAGCAGATCACAAGAAAGCTTTTTTATTTTGAGATAGGGTCTCAGGCAGCAAAAAAATAACCTTGAACTTCTGAGCTTCCTCCCTCCATCTCTCAAGTACTGGGATTACTGATGTGTGCCACCATGCCCAGTTTATACAATGCAGGGGATCGAACTCATGGCCTTGGACATGCTGGGCAAGCACTCCCAACTGAGCCACATCCTCAGTCCCAGTAACCAGCTCTTCATTGTCCTAACCCATGCCCTCATCTTGCCAGGAGTAGGAATGAAAGGGGACATGTAGTTCACTACTGAAATGGCCACAGTAACAGCACACTGTCACCTTGTAGTCACATACTCATATATCTTCCATGGGGGAAACAGGCACAGGAAGACTGAGATGCTCAAGGTTACTCTGCTGATGAGGGGCAGGCAGGGCCAGGTGCTGCTGAAGGCAACATGGCTTCAGAGCCCAGTCCCTCAACTCAGTTCCTTCCTTGCCACAGAGTATGTAGCCCTCCAAAGCCACATCATCTCCAGCCTGACTCTGTCCTCCTGACTTGCTATGTGACCAAAGATAATGAACTTCTCTTACCTCTGTCTCCCTGGCTCAAATTATACTGAACGTGTTATGCTGGACGTGTATGAGGATCTGGGCTCCAACACCAAAACAAGTTGTGTTTACAATTTTATATATAGTGTTTTCATATACAATGTGGTTTTGAAACAGATTTTTTTACAATTTCAAATGAAAACAAATACATTTTGGTAGTTGTCTACATTGGGTATTGAGTATCCATTGGAGTCCCAGAGAATCAGAACCATAGCCACTAAAACCCAGTTTCCCCCTCATGACATAGTGAACAGAGTAATGTCATCCCTCAGGGATGTGAACATGTCACCATGCTTGACAAAAGGGGCTTTGGATTAAGATCTTGATCTAGGAAGTTCCGTGAAAGGACAAAGGCCCTTATAACAGAAAGGGGCTGGGGGTGTAGTGCAGTTGGTAGAGTGTGTGCTTAGGAAACTCAAGGCATAAACCAGGTGTGGTGGTACATGCCTCTAATCCTAGCACCCAGGGGGTAGAGGGCAGGAGGGTCAGGAGTTCAAGGTCACCCTTGGCAACATAGGCAGTTTGGGCCAGCCTGGAACCCCGCCTCAAGATAAGATGGACCCTTAAAGGTGGAAAAGGGCTGTGAGCTGAGCTGCAGGGGCTCTGGAAGTTCAGAAAGGCCAGAAGGTAGCTTCTCCTTCAGAGAGAATTCCAGAAGGAAACACTCTACTAACCCCTCTGTTTTAGTTCCCTTGTGGGACTTATGACCTACAGCTCTGGAAGATGACTTGTGTTAAGATACAAAGCTGGGTGATTGTTACTATGACCATTGGACTCATTTGCTAGAGGTTTAATTCAGAAGCCTTTCCAGGAGGTAGAGGCCCACACACCAGAACTGTGAGATAGGGGAGATTGAGGACACTACAGAGCTATCTCCCCCTAAATGTTGTCTAGTTAATAGTTTCCTTAAAAAGGGGGGCCAGTGTGATGGCTCAGCTGGTAAGGGCACTTGCCACCAAGACTAACAGACCCAACCTAGACTGGGAAAGCCAGGCCCAAGGACTGGGGTCAGGGGAGGGCTAACTTGTTCAGGACCCCACCCCCACACCCCCCATGAGCTTACACGAGACATCCAGGGAATCGTCTTGGAACTTGGTTGGACCTGTCACACAGGTCCACTGGAATTTGTTTCTGACCACCCATCACCTGGCACTGGGTGTTAGGTGGATGTCTATGTCTCTCATGGGTAGCAATGCAATAGACTTTGCCACCTGAAATCTCACTGTGCCCCAAACTGGGCTGTGTGGCTTTCTGGCTTTCTGGCTGACTTTATTGGGAGCTGACTTTATTGGGAGATGAAATCTTGGGGGCTGAGAGCCCCCTTGTGGTTGTGTCTGCCATTGGTTGTGAAATCTTGGGGGCTGAGAGCCCCCTTGGGGTTGTGTCTGCCATTGAAGTACAACCACCCCCAAATTTACCCAAGGATGTCGCTGTCCACAGAGGTCCTCAGACACACGCCCTAACACATGCCTTGCGCTTATTAGGCAAGCGCTCTACCACTGAGCTAAATCCCCAACCCCTTCCCTAAGTCTTTTTAACACATCCTCTTTCCCATCCTCACCCCCAGAGCCCAAGGACCAAGAGCCATGAGTAGGATGACTTTCCAACATTTATTGACAGGTGGCATTGTTCCTTATTGACAGGTGGCATTGTTCCTTATTGACAGGTGGCATTGTTCCTTAGCAGGCTCCTGTTTTTCGACCGAAGGTGGCATTTTCAAGATGTGGTGAGAGGCTCTTGAAGTCTGGTAAAATTCTCAGGCAGGAGTTTGGATGGACTTGCTATTCTGGGCATCTAGTATTTTTTACCCCTTAGGGTGTATGCGCGGCGGCGGCGGCAGCACCCTAGGGAGATGAGAAACGTTATAAGCTGCCAGGCTATGCCCAGCTCTTGGACCCCCTGACCCCAGCCCAGCAAGTCCCTTGCTCACTCCGCCTCCGCTGCTGGCAACTACGCCTCCTCTGACTGCGAATTCTTCGCCTGCGGCGGCGGCATCTGCTCCTGCTTTGGCTGCGGCAGCATTGGTATCTGGCCATGGTCTGGCTTGGCCGGGAGCTGGCTCAAAGCAGGGGGCACCACTTGAGTTGAGCCAGCCAACCTGTGAGCAGGTGGAACTTTGTGGGCTGTGGCTGGGGGGCCTGTGCCCTCTTCCTTTTATAGATGCAGGGGTGCCCTGAGCATTGTTGACATCAAAGAGGGCTAGGACCTCACAGACCACAGCCAGAGGGGGCCGCCTGCATGTCCAAATATGGGCATAAGAGGGGAGGGCTAGACTGGGCATCAGGAGCCACCTGTGTCACAGTCAAGAGGTAACAAGGAGGGCACCCTCTTTTCAGTCAGTCATTCAACTTAGGACGTGCCAATGAGCCGTCATATGCCTGATTCAGGACTTGGGCCCTAGCAGAGAGGGATAAGTTAGACTTTATAACCCAATGACAGATGAGCAAAATAACCACACAAAGTTGGAATTGTGAAAAACCCCACATCTTCAGACTGCCCAGAGGGTGTTTGTTTGGGGAACTTGACTTTGTCCCAAGAGGAGACTGATGAACCCTGAGAGTCTCAGAGTTGGAAGGGTGGTTCTGGTGAAACCCTGTGGCCCTGTTAGATGTATCAGGTGTGAACAGGGATAGGCACATAGCACAAGCTGGCTTATAGGCTAAGGAGGGTGTTGACAGTCACTAGACAGAGAAGAATGTATGTAATGCTACCGGCCAGCTGCTGCCAGGCAGGACATTTCCTGTTATGTGTATTTACTGCAAGAGCTGGAGGCTGAAAGGTGCCTGGACATGTGGCAGAGGGAGGAAGACCCAGGAGGTGAGTGGGACAGGGGATAGGGGATGGGATGAGAGGAGATGAGGTTTCTCTGGGCTTTGTTCAACCTGTCTGATGCCCCCATGAACTTTAGGGGTATAGAAGGTAGCTGTTAGAATTAGGCTTGGCAACTGGCCACAGAAAACCAAAGTGGTCTGGAAAGAGAGAGGCTTTGCCATGCTTTCTGTAAGAAGCTAGAGACCCTCAGTGTCCTGGGGAAATACTTGCTGGTGGGCAGAGGGGTGCTGGGCAGGGGGGTGATGGCCAGGTACTTGTAAGCTAGCTACTTCTAAGTGACTCTGAAAGTGTCTAAAGGTACAGAGAGGGCCGGGAAGGTAAGAGAGCAAATGGATGGGATGGGAACAAGTGTCCCGCATAGGAAATGGGGAGTCCTCTCTGTACACTACCCTCCTTTTGAGAAAGGGGGTCTCTGTAGCCCCAGCTGGCCTGAAACTATGTAGACCTGGCTGGCCACAATCTCAGAGATTCACCTGCCTCTGCTTCCCCAGTCAATGCTGGGATTAAAGGTGTGCACCACCACACCCGACTTCTGTCCCCCTTCTTATCAGGGACTTGGCATCTCTGATATTTACTCTCTGCCATCAACAAGTTCTTTTCATTTGCAGAGTTACCTCACCATCCAAGATCAGGACTGCCCAGGACAGTTGTGTCGTTTGTGGACTATTCAAAGCTTCTAGGCCAGGACTGAGTAGGGACGGATGTCCTGCCCAGGATCAGCTTGCCAAGCCAGGCCCCAGACCTTCAGGTGCTTCTTGCATAGGATTTTTTTTCCCCTTCTAATTCCACAGGTCTGAGTAGAACTCAAACTTTCAAGTTTAAACAAAGGACTAGCCTTGACTCCTAAAAGCCCAGTCATACCCACTGTCCAGAAATAAAAGAAGAAGGGGTGGGGCTATCCCAGCCACTCCCTTTAATTACTCTCTTGGCAGTAGACCTCCCCGAGACTGGGGCAAAGTGAGGCCCTGGGAAAGAGGGGTACACTAGAGACGGGCAGCTCGGGTGCCCCAACACAGCCCTCCCACTTCCAACCCACAGCAAGATTTGTCAAGCTTCATACCACTTGGTCAGTAAGGGCTGCAGTAGGTGGAACCATGAAGCTCAGGATCAATGTTCAATCGACCCCTGTCTCTATCAGCTTGGGGTTCTGTGCAGGGCCCACACTTGAGGAGAAGACATTGTGTTTCCTCACCTCAGGGTACTGTGTCTTCGCCAGCTGTTGGACTCTTCAACATTAGAGAGCCCCCTCCCCCCCATTCATCCATGTGTGGAATTGCGGTCATTTAAAAAATATTTTATTTATTATTTTTTATTATTTTATGTGTATGAGTGTATTGTCTGCATGTATGTGAATGCACCATGTCGTGCTGTGTCGCAGAGGTCAGAAGAGGGCTTCGGATTCCCTTGGAACCGGCATTAAGGACGGTTTGTAGCCGCCATGTGGGTGTTGGGAATCAAACCTGGGTCTTCTGCAAGAGCAGTCAGTGCTCTTAACCACTGAGCCATCTCTCCAGCCCTGGAATTGTGGGCATTTTATACTTGGGTTATTATATTAGTTACTTTTCTCATTGTAACAAAGCCTGGCAGAAGCAACTTAAGGGAGGAAGTGTGTTTATTTCAACTCACAGTTTCAAGGCATATCAATCCATGATGGTGGGGAAGGCATGGCAGCTAGGACAGCTGTGTCCGTGGTGGCAGGAGCTTGAGACATGCTGTGATGGTTACTATTGATTGTCAATGACAGGATCTAGAATCACATAGGAGGCAGATGTTTGGGCATGACTGTGAAGGATTTCTAGATTATGTTAATTGAGAGAGAAGATCTGATGTAAATGTGGGTAACACCATTCCGTCGGCTAGGGTCCTGGACTGACTAAAAAAAAAAGCCAGCTGACCACCAGCAATTTATCACTCTCTGCTGCCTGACTGTGAATGTGATGTGCCCAGCTGCCTCATGCTTCTGCCACCATGACTTTCCAACCATGGGCTGTATTCTCAAACTGTGAACGAACTAAACTCTTCCTTAAGTTGTTTCTATTGTATTTTGTCACAGCAGCAAGACAGATAACTTTTGTTTTTGAGACAGGGTCTCCCTGTAGCCCCAGCTGACCTGGAACTCACTAAGTAGATCAGGCTGGTCTTGAACCTTAAACTCACAGAGACCCACCTGTCTCTGCCTCCCAAGTGTTGGGATTAAAGGTGTGAGCCACCTCACCTGGCTGTTCATTTTGTTTTGGAGACAGATAACTTATAAATGTGGCCTTTTCACACGTTGGTGGTGGATCAGGGCATTCGACCAGAATTGGAGCTGAGTATAACCTTCAAAGGTTCGCCCCTAGAGACCTGTGCCCACTAGCTAGGGCCCACATCCCAAAGGTCCTGCAGCTACCCAGCTTAGTGCCACCATGTAGGGATCACATGAGCTTATAGGGGGACATTTCACATTCAGATTTTAACAGTTATGAATGGGTGTTATTCATCTTAGAGTGGCATTAGAAACCAAGAAAAGGGTACTGGTACCTGGCCATGGGCTACTGCTGCTTATGTATCCTCTTGGGTGACAGGTCTATGCATGCGTTACATGGCTATAAATCTTTCTACAAGCGTGCGTGTGTGTCTAAGTATCTCCATATGTAACTTGGATGTTTCATCTTGTCTGTAAACCTTGACTGCATTGAGACAAGCTGAGATTTGTGAAGCACAGCTCTGGTGTGTGTGAGGAAGTTCCCAAGGTAGATTAGATCATGAGGGCTCTACCCAGTGCATAGTTCCACCCCTTTGTGGAACTGCAATTCAATAGACTATTTGAGGCTGGTGGAATTGTGGAAGACAGAGCTGGGCTGGAGGAAATGGGTCAGTGAGAATGGGTCCTTGGGGATATATCATGCCCTGGTCCTTTCCTATATTTCCCCACTCAGCTTCCTGTCTGGCATGAGGTAAAGACTTTCCTTTCCCACACATGCCTACTACCATGATGTCTTGCCAAAACACATGGGACCTAGTGACCATCAGTCTCACATCAGTTCCCAAATGCTGGAATTATAGGTATGGGGCATCAAACCTCCCATCCATTGTGATTTAAACCTCCTTGTTGGTGGGTATCTGTTCCCCCTTTCCGCCTTGGAAAATGAGACACTCGAAAATAGGAAGCATTTTTTTATTTCCCTAGCTTGAGGATGGAACCCAGGGTCTCAGCATGCTGGCCAAGCACTCTGCCATGAGCTACATCCCCAGCCCTTTTCCTCCTTTCTTATTTTGCTTTTTGCTCCCTCTTCTCCTCCTTCCCATGTATATCA